GATACCTATGCCCCCTCCCCCTAGCTCCCTGCCATCCCTGACCCCACTCCAGCCCCTCTCCCCCTGTGCTCCCCGGACCCACCCAACCCCAATTCTGATTAGGTCCCCACATCCAAGGTGGCATGTCTACCTGCCCCCCCCTCCAAGTTTTGAGCCCCCTCCCCCCGCACACCTTTTTTGAATGTAATATAAATAAAGGCTTCATTTTGTTCAAAATCAAACAGGTGTTTTTATTGAGAGGTCAAGGAAGGGGCATAGGGAGGGATTGTGGTGGGGGAAGGGATAGGGTGGCAAGCCAGAGGCCCTTGTTGGGGTGGCCCTGGGGACAGTTACTGGTGTGCTTGAGAGAACCTCTCCCTCAAGGTCTCCCAGATTCCCACCCCAGCCTAATGGGCCTGGTAGATGGCAGCTGTCCATGGCTGCTAGAAGGCTTGACCCTCGCTGCCAGTGTCTGCCCTCCACCCCAGGAAGAAGGCCTCCTCCTTCCTCCCACCATTTTGTGGAGTTGACAACATGCTGCAACCACCTCAGGGATGTAGTGCTCCCCCACATCAAGGCAGGCCAGCAGGCACCTGAACCACACCCTCAGGCACCTAAGGGTGCACTCAACCTGGATTCAGGCCTGGCTGAGGTGGGCATTAAATTGGTCACTGCTGGGATCCTGGTGGCATGTGTATGGCTTCATTAGCCATGGCATCAGGGAGTAAGCCCTGTCCCCCATGATGCACAATGGCATCTGCACACCCCCAACTACAAAGTCACGGCAGGGAAATAATATGCCCACCTCCAGCTTCCTGTACAGGGTAGAGTTCCTGAAAACACAAACATTGATGAAAATGTCTGTGAAGTGTCCACGATAGTCGACCAGGGTCTGCAGCCCCATTGAGAAGTAGCCCTTGTGATTGATATATTGGGCTACTCGATGCTCCAGAGTGTGGATCAGTATGTGGGCCTCATCAATAGCTTCACCGCAGTTCAGGAACCCCAGGGCAGCAAATCTGGCCATGATCATGTCCAGGTCTCTAAAGCAGATGACCGTCTGCAGCAGGATCGAGTTTATGGCCCTCACCACTTGCAGAAGGAGACAAACACACATAAAATGGAGAAAGAGAGGGAGTGCCTGGGCCCTTGGGAGGTGCCTGCCCCCCTCCTATCCCCACCGCCC